TGTCGTCGGCACATGTGTGGCCGGACAGCGCCAATAAGCGCTTCAGGTCGGTGACGTAGGTATCCACGGGCTCATCGTCCCGGAGCGTCCGCGCTTTAAATTGGCGGAACGCATCCGCCGGGGTCATGGTGTAAGCAGACTCCAGGGCCTTCTTTACTGCTGATTCACTGGCCTTGTCAGTATCAGACAACTGCTCAAACAGGTGGAAGGCATCACCATCCAAAAACAATGGCAACGATGCCATGCGGTCGGTTTCCGTCGACAGTTTCTGTAATCGGCACAGAACCAAAAACTTCCTCCAAAACAACTGGAAGTCTTCGCCTTTTCCTTTGAACGCTCTCAAGTAACCATCCATTTTGATGGATGCCATGGTTACACTGCCACTGCACTGGTGTAGCTCAAACCAACACCACAAACACTACAAATACTCAAATTCACTCGACTGCCTCCTGCAGTTCTACACGAGCACTCGACCGGTCCTGAGGCTCTGTTCGATCGGGTTTCGGTACCACTTGTTACTGAATTGTTACTACTACTACTAGCTTAATTAACCACCCCTGCATCCAACCCTTGGCATGCTACAACCGACAACCGTTGCAAACTTGGGTGAGAGAATACATACAGTAGATTCAGTAAAAAAATGGGAAAGAAGATCATCGAAAGAATGAAAAAGGCAGCTGCATCAGCATGCAGCTGCGCATCAAAATCAAATGTAAAGATGGCGACCATGAACGACTGCGACGTGGATAAACTGCAAAACAAACTAGTGCAGCGACACTGACTCGAATGAGTAAAGAAGCGGAGAAGACGAAACGGCAAGGAAAGCGGATCGCTACGATCGCTCAAATGCACTAGCCTAGAGCGTGCATAGCGCATGCAGTCAAACGGTCACGTGATAAGTGCGTACACAAGTCATACGTCATAATAATGCAGTTGACAAAGAAAAGGAAACAAAGCTGAGCGCGAGGCAAACAAATCTGCAGAGCGCGAAAATATAAACACATTGAACGAAGGATTTGTTTGAGAACAAAATGCACAGGCAGACAAAGAAGAAACAGTTCGAAGCTAGAATCAATGTCCGTGTTTCTTAGAATCAATCATGGAGAAAGCTAACTAAGAGTAACTACCTCTGTCACGCAAGACCGGACCTAAACACCTACGAAGTAAGAATTGATGTGTTACGAGAAATACGTGTAGTGAAATAAATTGGTGTGCATTGCATCGTGACACAACTTGCCAAGCTGCATGTACGTGATTGTAAATGTACAAACAACATGCAACGTCGTAGTAAGCACAATCGTAACTCGTGAATTCCTTGTTGTTGACTCAAGGCAAGCAGTACCTCGTGTACACGTTGACAACGACGAACAAATTGATTAGACTCTGATAATAAATACTAATAATATGAAAGAACAACAAAACGTAAATGTCACCTACGATTACACAACAGTGTGCATGGGCTAACTTATTAGGCTTTGCTGCGCAAAGCCCACATTTAGTGCTAAAGGTGTTACGTGTCTACACAATCACAAAGTCATGCGCCAATACAATGCATAGTGCTCAAATGCCCGGAATGGGCGGAGCGTAGTACGCAAGAGGTACACAAAAGGAGTAAAATAGTGCTGTTTCGTTGTTACTCAGAGTTTCATGACAAAAACCAATCATCAGACAGCATCTCATGATCATGATTGTAGCCGATTGTTGCCAAAAACCTGGGATTTCCCGATCCACTATGAAACTCGTTATGCCGCTCAAGCCTCACATAATCATGATAATGCTGGTGTTATTCCTTTCTAATGCTCCACAATGCTCTGATGCTCGGATAGTCGTATAATGCCGATTATAATGCCGGCATTATCCGCTGAACCCTAATGGCCGTATGGGTGCTGTCATTCCAGACGTGCGGGTGGAGCCCACTTTGCTATCGTTGGACGGTGAAACTTTGCCTGCATGGTGCCACTGCCAATTGCCATCAATATGCTCGTTTGGACATCCGTGCAAGGGGCTTCTGGTCTCGGCAGCAAAACGCATTTTTTTTATGTGAGGGTCACTCATCCCTCGGCGTCCTTGTTGTGGAGAGCAGAGGCTCTTGCCCAGTTGTCGAGGAATGAAAAGCAGAAAAAGTGTGCTTATCTTGAGAGAGTCGTTAACGTTGAGCGGGGAGCTTTCACACCTTTGGTTTTTGCCACCGATGGCATGTATGGGCAGGAATGCTCTCGTGCCCTGAGAAACTTAGTCGGAATTATTGTGGACAACCATTCAGATCTGCAACAAAGTATTCGATTGTTATGCGACTTATGTCCCATCTGAGAGCCTCAATATCTTTCTTCCTGCTGAAGTGGTTTGTTACGTGAGGGCATCTTACCTGCGCCGCGGATCGGGTTACACCTTCTTAGACCAGTGCCGCCTTAATGTCAATGTTTGTCCTGTTGATCGTGATAATAATTATATGATTATCCTGTTAGTGTTGCACCTCATCGCTATTATTTTAAATGCTGGTTGTGCTCGTGCGTATTCTGATACATGTACTTGATAGACACTTCTCTCTTTTGTCACGCGTGCTCGCGCTCGTGTTCGTGGTCTGACTAATCTGAAAGTGTTAGACTGAGCTATTCATATGTGACAGCCACCTTTGTGCAAACAAAAGAAAATGCACTACCGGTAAGTCTAATAAGTAGCAGTAGTTGTTTACTGGCACCCGGACTCCACTATTTCTTTCTGTCCTTGCTGTATTTTCATCATGTCTTTTACCAGTTTCCGTCTTTGCTAATTCGTTTCAAATTCAATGTATCCCTTAGTTGTCGTCACCCGTCCTCTATAGTTTTACCTCGTTCTGGCGCCCATTTCCTTAAATCCCCTCTCTTCAGTTTATCTGTGGAATGGAACAAACTTCCAGAACACATCCGCTGCGTTCAGTCCTCTGTCAATTTTCGCATTGCTCTAAAGGCTCATTACTCTCAGCATAGATATTCTCTGACTGGAATTCCGAACTTTTCCGTTTGAGAAATTTTTTTTCCTTGAAATTAATCCTTGCTGGTTTTTTCATCTAAATGTCCCGCTATTATCTGCAGAGGTGACTTCTTCCCTCGTCGATTTCTTTCCTGCTTTTATACCTCGATATTTAGGTACTTGTTTCCCTTCTTCCCATGCTTCATCTTCCACTCTCCTCTCCCCCATTTCCCCATTTTTCTTGCGATATTTATGTGGGAGACTTCCGTGATAAGCATCCATTTGCTTTTGGAGAATCCTTTTAAATAAATACAATACAATACTACATTGTAGTCACGTGATGCAGCATCCCTGGGGTGTTTCAACTGTTTGCTGTTTGTCTTTGCACAGACTCAGTGTGTGACCACCAGCCTTGTGAAGTTGTGGTCGTCGATCTATCCACATGTACAACGACAGGTTCTCATCTGGAGCTGGCCATGGGATACGATCAGCCTGTGCACGGCAGGTGGAAAAGTAATAGTTATATTTCAAAGAAAAAAAAGAAAGGGCTGCCGCTGGAGCAAGCTGTAGAGTAACAATCATTAGGCCATGGTAAAAATAAAGTTGATTCTCAGGTCAAGCACCTGGGCGTTATTCTCGACCGCCAACTCTCCTGGTCTCCACAAGTCCAGTCTGTGTGCAAGCGTGCGAGTGCGTCCTTAGGTATGCTACAACCCCACTGCCAACACTTGAATGATAACTGCAGAAAATTGTTCTTTAAGTCGTACATTTTGCCTATATTTGACTATTGCGATATAGCTTGGTGCGGGTTGTCTCAGACTTTACTCCACAGACTGGAGGTACATCAACGCTTGCTTCTGAAAATTCTGTTTCGAAAAGACCAAACATTTGCCTCCCTTTGTCTTTATAAACTTGCTTCCACGCACCCTCTTCTTGCCCGACATCAGCAGCATCTTTGTATCCTTGTGCAAAAAATCTTCCTAGCCCAAGTCCCGAAACATATTGCCAAGTACAACTGGTTTGTTACCACTAGACCAACACGCAATGCCTTATCACTGCCCCGAGCTAGTTCCTCTCTGTTTTTGAAATCCCCTTTCTTCTC